GCGGTTGATCACTCAAAATTTCTCCTTCATGTAAATGACAGATGTGAGGTGCGAAAACGCGAGATCTTAGGATCTGCGAATAAGAACTGATTATTATGTTCCGTCAATATTTATATGCGTACTTTTTGTTATTTATTTTTTATATTGAATCTCTTTTTTTGGTATATCTTATATTTAGCTAAATATGAGTGGTTTTTCGGGAAACGAATTTACATAATGCAGAATTGCCTGTATCTTGATGAGTTAGATATTGTATCCTTTATATGATATCATATCCGAATGAAGTATCTAAATGTGAAGAGATGTGCTACTTAGCGGTAGAAGGTTATAAGTGCCAGGAGGTCCGATTCTATGGGAACGAAACGGGCTCATCTTTGCCGTAGGTCCATGGACCTGTTCTGGACCGAGTGGCTCTCTCAGGGCGCCGAAGAAAGGGGCACAGGACCCCGCTGCTAAATGAGCTGTAATACGGACCCCCGCTGAACTTCTCTTCTCCCCGTCTTGCCCTTCTTGAACCATACTTCAAGATATTCTCCCTCTCTTTCATCGCTGCTTAAAACCACTCACACTGCTTGGCCCGCAGGTTATGATATGACCACACGAGACGACTTCTTCTGCTGTCGACTCTTCCTGCAATATTTTTGCTTCTTGGCCGTCCTTTATTTTTTCCCCTCTTTCATCGCCGCTATTATCGCCTTCGTCTCTATCACTGAGATCCCATCAATGACTGCCTCATTCCTGGAGATTGTGCGGTCAGAAAAAGAAATCCTTACAGAGATAATAGGCAAAGAAAAGAATTACGGCGATATAATAGCATTAATTTTCTTCAAGAAATTTATTTGCTGAATAAAGATTTTTCTGATAGATAATTATTCATCGACATTAATGATATTTATAAAGACTAGAAAGATAATTATTATATGCAAAGTTATTTTGTAATTTATTTGATTGTGAATAATATTCATTGTTATTATTAATAATATAGTTGTATTTTTGATACAGTAAAATCTATTTTAATTCTCATTATCAACGATTTCAATATAATTTTCTTCTACGAAGATTTCTATTATTATCTGTTTGAGCGAACTAATTTGCAGTTTGTTATTCCAACTATTATTCTGAGAAATAACGGGAAATGGTCGTGACATCGAGAACTGTTGCTCGTAAAACTATTCGGTCAACGAAGTAATTGACCCGCGACTTCATGAACAAACTTTATTGAGCGGCCGATCTAACAATTAGGCTAATCGTTTCGATCAATGCTATAACCTGTATGGTCGATGGTATGAAAACGATTAATGACGATTAAGGACTCTTAATTATAATTAAACTTTTCTTAATTTTAAATGCACAAGTTTCTCAAGTTCGATTATTATTTATTTTTAAGTATCACATATTTTGATTATATAAATGATGATCCGCTAGATTTAAATCAGCGAACTCTCCAATCCGACTTACCTATTAGCTAGATGTGATTGCTATTATTATGCGGACACGAGACTAGCTGCACAAATTATAAAATATCGTCATGTATAACGCGGTTGTAAACATATTCCTGAGAGCTATAATTACGTTCCGCGTAATGACGACTGTTAAAAGATTGAACGCTGCTACCGAAATAGAATGCTGTTAGCAGCAGAAGCTGCATCTATTACTAGGCCGCAGTCTGGTGTAATAGAATTCGGAGCACTCCGATACACACTCTTTGAAACGACGAAATGCTCGGGAACCGGTAAAGGCTGCGGCCGCGAGCGCTCGCGGCTTTGTCGTGGCGGCGGAGATGAAAAGGATGTAGCGAGCCACACGCCGACAGCTTAAGCCCTCAATAGCCCTCTACGATGGTGCCCACAGCGTGTACCGAAGCCATGATATGGTGGGAGGAGGCGAGGTAGGAGCAGGTCGCTGGTCGAAAGGAGGAAGAAGCGAAGGAGAGACGCGAAAGGACCAGTCGTGACGAGGTGGCGGGACGAAGGGAGACGAGGCATGAGACGGCTACCGAGCGGAGAGCTCGCCTTCACAAAGCATCAGAATGGGACTTACTGGGGCCCCGTTATTAGTCCTTACTTGCTTCGTATTCGTATTGGTAGGGCCACGAGGGGAGATCGGATCTCTCACGTCGAGTCGTATACACGAGCCGCTCCTGTGTATCTCGTGAAGGTGAACGGCGACACGGAAAATGTCAGGATCATCACCGATACCTGCTTTTCTTGTGGCGCTTCTCAACCTGAAAATTCATCATCCGGTAAAAGAGTTTTCTTTGTCGCGCTACTATTGGCGAAGAGCGATGAGAAGGAGATGGGATAGTGAAACGTCGGGTGAAATTCACTTGACAGCGCAACAAACTTCTTATTATGGAAATGAGAGGATAGGGAGGGATAAAAGATATATTTAAGCATTAAATCGCTCTCCGGATAATCTTTCAATGAAATTTATTTTTGAGACAGTAAAATCATAGCATGTAGCAATTTCTCGCTTGAATTTTGTTACGCTATAAAATGATTAGCCTAGGAAATTTCATATTTTTTTAGTTTATTAGTGCAATTTTATTATAAAATAAAGTTTTTTTGTGCAAAATATTTCTATACAACACACATTTCTAAAGGATGTACCCTACAGACATCCAAAGAACATTCTACGTTCCAAGGATGTTCTCAGGACATCCCTTGAATGAAGCATATAGGTTACTATAGACATTTGTAAAAATGTAATCGCCAATATTTAGACTATATTAATGGCTGAGATATTTTAATAAGAAGTAAGGACTCTCAACAATTAAAATAGCTAATAGAGCAAAACAAAAAGAATCGAGCATGGAAACTGATATAATATCTATTTTACAAGCGCATAAGCGTAGTTGTATGTGGTTGTAGTAAAAATTGATTAATCACAATCGAATATTCTTCCCAAATTCGACCATAATTGGTCGAATTCTTATAATTATGCTTACGCAATTATAGAAACGGACTTTAGATTAATATATTAAAAGTACAAAAATAATACGAAAAAATTACATTACATGTTTCAGCTCATTGTTGAATCGTCTTCAGATCGAGATATTTTAATACATTTCAATACAATTTTAGGATTGTGATTTTAATGATTTCATATTTCACTTCACCAAAATTCATAAAATAAAGCACTTTTTCTAGAAGTTTCAATCTCTAGATTCGATATATTTTATCATGCTATAAAAATTTGTTATACGCGCAGCACACGCTGTATCATTTTTTAAAGTCCTAAAGGCCATGCTATCTCATTGCGACCTGTTAATGATTTCTGACCGCTATTATTCATCGCGCAGCATCGCGTCTATCACCTTGACATCGCGCGTTCGAATCCGAGACGTGGTCGCGCCTCCCTCCGTGGGATCCTAGGCAGCGCGGCGCGAGAGCAGAGAGGATCCGACGACCGGGCCTCCTCGTGTCGACGGGTTCCGTAGGCGAGTTAAAAGAGGAAAAGAGGGGCTCGGTTGCGTTTCGTTGCCGCCGAGCGGCGCTCACCTGCCTAGTCCGCAACAGTCTCGTACGGTTCGCTCCGGCCACGAGCCTCGCCAGCGATCGCAGACGGCTGAATCTCGCTGTCTCCCCTACCATCTGGAGATTTTTCCACTTACGCCAGACTTTCTCATAGGTTTTCCACCCTCTTTCCCCCTCCCCCTTCTCTTATCTCCGTTATTTTTGTCCTTTTGTTGGTTTTCCATTCTCTTATAATTTTGCACGTGTTATATGAAATTCGCGAATCTACTTTTTCTGATTGATCCGTCAATCTATTTGAAGAATCTTCAATATCTTCGTGTGGGACGGTCCCTTTCACGAAGATCGACGTTTTTCGCGACGGCGAAGTCGAAGATGCACCCGTCGCGGGCGCCGGTGGCGATGGTCTCACGACGGCGATGGTGATGGTTGTTGTGGTGGTGGTGCTGGTGCTGGTGAAGAAGAGGAAGAAGAAGAAGAGGAAGAAGAAAACGGAATATATTGGTGGGGGCAGCTCTTCTCTACTCCTCAGAACTCTATTGGTGGGGATAAGGCAACACTCAAAGATTGTGGTGACGTAGTTCTGGCAGGAACGCGATGCGTTTTTGCCGTATCAAGAAAAGAGGATTTTACTACGCTTCATCTGTACCTTATAAATAGTTAACACTTTTGGGAAAGAGGAAGAAAAAGAACAGACGGAAGTAAAGAAAGAGAGGAGAAAGAAGAGAAACATCAGGTACTTTGACAGACAAAGAGGAGAAGGAAGAGGGAGCCAGCGGGTGCATGAGAAGGACAGAGGGTGGCTGGGGAGGGGGAAAAAGAGGGGAGTAAGTGGTCCAAGAGACCGGAAGTCAGTGCTCCTCTTCCGGGTCTTTCTTAAATCGCGAGCTTTTTCGCGGACTTAAAGACATGTCTCTTCCAACGAAGGGTATCTCCGATTGCCCTCAAGCATTTTCAGTGCGATACGATCATGAAGATCAAGTGTTTATTGCGATCGTGGCTATGTATTATGGCTATGTAATCTCAGTATCTTCGCTTTGTCGAGAAATGCAACATCAAGAATAATTCTTCGATTAAAGACGAATAATTTTGCAAGTACATCCGCAAGCAATGATCATCAATATTCTTCAACGCTTCTGTATCGATCCTGAAGAAATATATTCCATGCAATCAGAAATGATCTAAATCAATGAGAATCGCGGTTTCAAAAAGAATCAGCGATTTTTGTATGCGATCTACGTTACAATGTCGAGTTTTGGACCACACGATAAGGGAGTTGCGCGGTAGAGGGGACAGTGCGTACAGTTTGCGTGCCAATCTTTGGCCACGAAGTGCATTCGGAACTGAAGAATACGTACAGGTGAACTCGCGGCGGTTCGCGGTCGACTCGTCTTTGCAGCCGGACACCGCATCGGTGCGCTCACACGAATACCATCGCAATCGACTATTCCATCGATCGTCAGTGCGCAGAGCGGACAAAGGAAACGTAATCGGTGATCGATTCGGGTGTTATCAGGTGCGAAGGGGATGGAGATGCGCCCCGTTCTCGTGGCGATCTGCCTCCTCCTCGTCACCCCCATCACCGGCTCTTTCTGGTAAGTGACAATTTTTCTCTGTGATCTTTCCTTGTTTTGCTATGAAAATGCATTGTTAAATTTTGACAAGATTGTTTACATTGGATTTATGTGAAGTTATAATAGCGAAATCTACAGTGGATAGAATTAAGATTATGGCACAAAAAAAATGTAAGGCAGTAATTGAATAAGCCAATCGCAATAGAAACGTAAGGCATTAACGTAAGCAGTAGCAAATCCAAAATGTTGATTTAAGTTATTTTTTTCGCCAGCATTAGCATTTAATAATAAATAAAGTTTTTATTTACTATCTTTTTAATTATTCTTTTACTTAACAAAATAATTGCCGTAATAATAAATAAATAAATAAATAAATAAATAAATATACATATGTAAATTGCATTTTTATATGTGCGTGAGAGAGAGAGAGAGAGAGAGAGAGAGAGAGAGAGAGAGAGAGAGAGAGAGAGAGAG